AAATCTTATGTGGTACCGCCTGATTCGACTTCTAATGGTTAAGTGAAGTGTTTTCTTCGCGGTACGGTCTGGATTCGTAAATATTATGAAGACGAGCTTCGGCTTCAAAGGGTTAACCAGCTGATTTTCGTAATGGTGAGGTGAAGTGTTTTCTTCGCGGTACGGACTGAATTCATAAATATTATGAAGACGAGCTTCGACTTCAAAGGGTTAACCAGCTGATTTTCGTAATGGTGAGGTGAAGTGTTTTCTTCGCGGTACGGACTGAATTCATAAATATTATGAAGACGAGCTTCGACTTCAAAGGGTTAACCAGCTGATTTTCGTAATGGTGAGGTGAAGTGTTTTCTTCGCGGTACGGACTGGATTCGTAAATATTATGAAGACGATCTTCGGCTTCAAATGGTTAATAGTGGCGTGCTCCATTTTGTAACCGAACTGTGTTTTAGAGCAGACATTTTTGGGTCGTAAGCCGAATGCTGGTTTAATTAATGGTTTTTTTTAGGAACCCGTTTCATTTCTTGAAGCATTCCTTACGTAAGGCCCCCAAAAAGTGTCCCACATTTTGTAAATCGTAGGTTTCAGATGCTTGGCAAACAGCTGTTTATGTTGTTGTTTTTTATTTCGCGTGAGTAAAGTGGAAATGTGTTTCAGTGGAATTGGCATTTGTTTATGCTCGTGGGGAAAATAGAGAAACGAGAATTTATGTTCAGCTGAAGCTTTGAAGCTTTAGTAAAAGGAAGGCGTTTGTGATGCCCCCCCCCCGGAGTAGCCACTTCTTTCTAAAGCCTCGTTTAGTGGGCGCCGATTTTTTTAAACGAATCTCCTGCAGTTGAAGACGAAATGCCTGAGGATGCTTCAGGAACGTAAGAGTAGGGAAGGTCGCGTATGAAAAGTAGAAAAACCTTGGAAATGCGACAGATTGGATTTCTCGGAAAGCGTCAGCGATGTTTCCCACTGATTTTGAAGTTGACGGCGAATCGGCGATTTACGCAGGAAGTGACGTAGAGGAATGTGACGTCGCCTTGCCACAGATTTCTACGTAGAGCAGAGGTTCCCAAAACGTTTATACCTTGCGCCCCCTTAAAACATTTCATAAATTTCACGCGCGCCCCGCCCCCTTCCAAAACAATTGCAAGAAAACAGATTTGACGTAAAATTTAGCTATGAATATACATTTTTTTTATAATTTAGTACATATTATTCGATTAATTTATTTTAAAAACTTCCTACCTGGATTGGTGGGATGGATGTGGTTGCGTCTGTGAACATAACTTATCATACCGAGGTCGGAGTTTCGAACGTCCCCCCCCCCCCAAGGGGGGGCACTTTTGGAAACTCTGACGTAGAGGAACAAGGAAAGATGTCCGGACGCTTCCTAAAACGAAACTGAACATCCAATTGACAAATCCTTTGTGGGCGTGACAGGAGATTATGAACTCTCCCCCTGAAATAAGGGCAAGACAAGTGGTCCAGTTACGACAAGTGGAGGTTTGCGTGTTCAGCCCACGCTCACAGCTTGAGGCGGAGTTCGTACATTGGTATTCAGATATCATGCAAATAATTACGTTCAAAGTAACCTCTTATCTTTCAGACCGGAATTGGTTTCCGGAGGTTCGTACACTTTGAAAATTTCTGGGTTGAGTCCTCATCGCCCTGATGATGGAAGCAGCAAATCCCTTTGAAACGTCGGTAAACTCATAGCAGAGCCAGAAGACGGACATCCTCGGGCTCACCGCCGTGAAAACCTCGAATCCTTCTTAGTTCAGTTTAATTCGCTTTCCGTTCCACGATCTTCAGCAAGTGGAAACAGTTTTCTTGGAACTTGGCTCCGTCATCTGATGAATTAAGTAATAATAATAATAATTGCGGATTTTCCCGAAACTCCAAATATGACGTCTGCTGTGTCTTCGTGGAACGAAGTATATCTTTTCTGCGCCCCCCCCCCTTCTAATTCCACCCCCAGTGCGGGTTTCGTCCCTCGTCTTCGCCAGACCCTCTGCCCCCCCGCCCTCCACGCACGATGAACATCTTTTGCATCCAGACGCAAAATGCAAGATTTTGATATGAGATGCGTATTTGCGTTAATTTAATTTTTATTTCAATTTAAATTACTCTAAAAAGATTAAAAAAAAGGGTGCTCGATACTCACGTGGACTCGTTACGTAACACGTTCAGGTGTTGCGGTAAATAATCTTTTACACTTCGTACTTGGCGCGAATCCGCGGGAAATTCGTCTTGGAGAGATTTTGCGAACGTCCCTCATGTTTTACCCAAGGTTTTCTTTCAGGAATGAATATTAGATTCGCAATGCAAGAAACAAGTTCTTCTCTCTTGTCTGCCATCTGTCGGAAAGCGCAGTAACTAAGGGAATCCACAAATCCTTCCTTTACCCTTCTGAGAAATAAAATGAATTGAAATGGGCCACGACAGGTCATGCCGACTGTCGCCACCTTCCCAGGATATTCTTTGAAGAGTCGAATGTCTACTCGGCTTGTCAAAGAATAGCCCGCCACTGGACTCTATCCTATTGATTCCTGTCTCCTCCCATCCTCCTCGATTTAATCACCCTAACAATACAGGCTTTTAGGTCCAAATATCCTACTCAAAGACCCTCAATCTGTGTTCCTCCTAATGGAGACACCAAGTTTCACACCCATGCAGCACAACTGGCAAGACTAAACTTTTGTATTTCGTATGAGACAGGACGACAAGATATTTTTGATGAATGATGACGGGCATTTCATCGTGAATGGCTTTCTGACTTGTCTGTGTCGTCCCCAAGTACTGGAATTCCTGCCCCATTTAACCGTCCACCGTCTCTCGGTTTGCTCAGGGACCACTCACACACGTCGACCTCAATGTCTCCTTCCTCGAGAAACTCCCACCGCACAGCCCTCACTAAAAGAACTACTCAACATGCGCTAGATAGCATGAACAGTTGATACAGGGTGGGCGTACGGGCATCGAAGCAAGGTCCGGCCCTCAAGAGTGTTTCTACGAGGCTCGTCCTTAAAGTAAGTTTCCCTGGGGCCGTTTACAGAAACAAAACACAATTTCATGGAAATATTTATTGCAACAGATACAGCAGGTGTCCAGCTATTTTTCAACATATTCGCCACCGGAATTGAGACATTGGTCATACCGTGGGACCAACTTTTGAATACCTGTGTCGTAGAAGTCTGCCGCCTGGGATGGGACCCACTGTGTGACAACCATCTCCGCCTCTCTGTCATTCTCAAAACGCTGACGCTGACCGGACAGGAATTTCTTGAGGTGTAGGAAAAGATGGAAATCACTGGGAGCGAGGTCCGGGCTGTAGGGTGAATGATTAAACACCTCCCAGCTGAACTCCTGCAGGAGACTTGCTGTCCGTCGAGCCGTGTGCGGCCTAGCGTTATCACTGACCGCACTTCACAGTCGGCGGGAGCTGGAATAAGAACCGCCATCTTCAACAGCTGCAACGATGCTACTGTGAGAACGCGGGAAGTGCCGTTAGTGCATGCGCCATGCTACGTCATTGCTCTATCACGTACGCACAGTCGCTTCGCGCAATATAAGGTTTGCTAGCTGTGGGACGAGTGGGAAACTTACTTTGAGGACGCGCCTCGTATTATCACCAAACAGATTTAAATCATCAGTAGAAATCAAATCGATGAATTTGAAGAAATCGGTCGTGGCCTATTTGAAGGTTTGTGAGGGGGGAAAAACCGCAGTCAGTGATTTAGTGGGAGGGGGCGGATCGCGAGGAGATTTGGTTGCGCTGATGGACCTCGGGTTCTGTTTGCAGGCTCTCAGAAAACCGGTTCCGACGAATTATTATTCCTTGTAACTCACGAAACCTGACAGAAGTGGGAATTGGGAAGGACACTCGGGACTTCCCGCCGGAACCACCGGATCTTTCGATTCCGGTTCGTGATCGTGTCACCAGAATACGTCCGGCGGATGGAATTTCAGGCGAATCCCAGTCGGTAGTTTTTATTTAGTCCGTTCGTTCGTTGTGATTGGCTGCACCCAAAAAGATTTGTATCGAGGCCAGTGACGTGTACTTATGAAAAATACTTAATCTTGTCATTTTAATTACAGTTCTAATTGGACGATCTGAGTTCGATTCTCGGTGTGTGCGCGGGTTCTTGTCCACCCGAGCTCTTTGATAGGGTAAATGTACCCGGAGCGTGAAACTGGCCTCGTCGCCACTGCCCTAGCTTATGTAGATTTTATTTATTGGGTTCGGAATAAATCATTTTGCTGGTTAGGGTGTGTAAACTTGGGGGGACGCTCTGTTTCCCTGTTTCGACACAATCGGTGTCATTTTCAGACAATGCAGACAGACGCCAGACAATAATTTCGCATCGGGTAGTACAACACGAGGAATAATGACTGGGTTATCTGTCTCATGTGCTATCAGTTCGCTATCATTTTCCTCCTACTCACGTGTATATTTGTCAGGGTCGTCCAGGCTCTCGGGAGTTACGCCGCGGCCGTTGGACATCCACCATGAATACTTCGGACAGGCGTCTCGACCACATTTCTGAATATTACGACGCGCATTGCCGACGTAGCTCAGTCGGATGCTCGGAGTTCGACCCCCACGACGGGGCCAGAGGATTTTTCTCATAGCCCCTAAGCTCTGGGGCCCACCCAGCCTCCTGGGTGAAGGTTGTCGACAGCGGATCGTAATAGAAATGAAGACGGGATCATTCGCTTTGCTCTGTAAATGCGAGTGAAATTCGCACGAAACGGAAAGTGAAGAATTTTCATGTGGGCGTGGTTTGTGTTTCGCAATGATCAGGAAAAAGTGAACAGCGTATCTCGTCCTCTGCGACGGTGAGTCACGAAACAGATAAGTCGAGCTGATGCCCTGACCTTCGTCTAGTTCCACGTATCAGAGCTCATTGTAATTGTTATTTTTTTAAGAGTCCTGATTCCACAGACAAATGACTTGACGTTAGCGGCGAGAAGACGCTTCTGAGTTCCTCTCCCAGGACAGCAAAAATTGCTTGTTCTTTCCGGCGATGCCGGAACAGTCACTGACAGAATTCGAGGCCGTGAATTTTCTGTCGGAAAGGCGGGCTGATGCTTTTGAATCGCAGATTCAGATGTCCGCGGAGGTGCTGGGATGTTTCTCTACACGAAGTGCAAATTGGGCGGGCGGGCGGTGTCTCCCGGATCGCAGTCCGGGAGGTGTGTCCCACGCGCGATCAGACCGCCAGTCGCAAGTCGCCGTCATCATGAGTCACACTGACGACAAGTAAGTAAGTAAGAAGACTTTTTCAAATTGCGGAGTTTTGTTGAGGGGGCGATGAACATTCGGGATGTTTGTTGACTGGGCGGTCAGCCATTTTCTTTTCAAGGCAACCGATTGCTTTTTCGGGTGTCCCTCGGGATGAATTACGGTGTTGGATGTGAGAGTCCGTGATCTCGTGATGGCTCGAAAAGGGGGGGAAACAAGAAACGCTCACACACATTTTTGTCTGACAAAGGAAATTGGGAGATGAAGTCGAGTAGGTGACATTCGCCCCGACATTTGTTCTTCGTGTTTTTAAAGCGAAAATTTTGTAGTCGTGTGGACTGGGATTTCTGCAATAATATTTAAATACAGGTTATAAGCCTAAAAAGTAGCCTGATGATTCACGTGGTGGTGATGAAATCTCTTATGGAGCCACTTACCTTTATAAACCATTAGCGGTCCCTTTTAAATACCACTACGGCTGTCCGGTGGTCTATTTAAATGCCACTAAGCTGTATAAGTTCAACTACTGTTAGGAACTGTTCTGATTTTATTTGTAATTTGCGTAAAACCGAAGAAACTTTGCTAAATTTGTTGAAAATATGTTCTGAGAGGATCACAGTTCCTCCTGTTTGAATACTGACCGTGTGAAATATTTTTCAGTGTCGTTGGGTATAGAATAAAGCAGGACCAAGTCGGTATATAAGACTTTGTGCGACGTCTAAACATCTCTTATTTCGTGCAGAAATACGATGTATAAGCATTGGATTTCATATTGTCAGAGCTGATAATTGTTTTCGAAAGATCGAGTTCAGTGAAACAACGCGAATTGTCACTACACACAAAGAATGATTAATAAGAAGACGAATGAATATGCATATATGTGAGTTGTGGATTGCTCAATGCATCAGAATTAATTTAAAAAATATATAAATTCCTACTAGGAAAATATCTTTATCAGATACGAAATAACTTCTATTCTAAGTAAATATAACGTTCCTTCGCTATGTGATGTGTGGAGAAACACTTGGCGTGGAATCCTGGCTGCTTTGGACACGTGTCAGAATAAGAAGAAGGCTTGGATGATGTGTTGACGCTGTTTGCCAGCCTCAGTTTGCGTAAAATACGTGGCCGGAAAGCTTTTATGAAGGAGCCGGAGGTTTTAGTACCGACTCCGAAGCCCTGCCGGAAGGTAGGGATATTATGCTTAGAAATGTTGGTATCTGTCTACAAGCCCACACGTCGTTGACGAACGTGGACGGTTCCAGTATAGTAAGGTCTAGCACGAAGTACAAACGACAATTTTTGCCCTGTGACTAATCGCCATTCGGTGTGTGCATTAACATCGCTCGTGTGGAATCATCGAGCGTTTTTTTTATGGAAGCCTCCGCAGAAATATTCGTTCAGGGAGTGTGCCATTATCTGTCCAGCTGTTCAAGATGTTAGGATTCGGTTCCGACTGGACGACCTGAGTTCGATTCTCAGCAGTGGAGGATTTTTCTGGGGCCCAACTTTCTTTCCAGCCGGTACCCGGGTCATTTCCTCGGTGACACCACCAGCTTTTACTCTGAATAATTCCGCATTTCGCCCACAGAGTGCGTGAGTGTGCACTCCTTTCCGACGTCAAACTTTACAAAAACTAAGCAACTGAACTTTTGTAACGGAGATCCAGAGACTTTCCTAGAGGCGAGTCTCCAGATGGGTTGGCTGTTCCAAGACCTGGGTCAACATCCCCGTGTGGTGAAATAGGCCGCGGCGCGGGAGAAATGCATGCTCTCTGGTGGCCTTGGCTGCTGTGGGTCCATTGACCGCGAGCGATCAGACACACGACACAGCGAGCGCTCCGCTGGTTACACGGCCAGCAACACGCGAGGCGAACCCAAACATTTAAACGCACTGAACCTCCGTGTCCTGTGCGATGTTTGTTATCTCCGTAGTCCGGGATTCGGCTCTACGACATCAAATATTTGTTTCACCTGAAAGAAAATACAATCTTTTTTATTTACGGTACGGAGAATGTGGATAGGGGACAATGATTAAAGCCTTTTGTGTACAAAGAGTATAAAATCGGCGTCCGGGGTTTCAAATCTGGATGAAGTGATTGAAGAACGGAACTGTGAGATTGATTGTGTCAGCGTGGTACGGGAGAGTCGCTCAAATCTTTGAGCGCGTTTGTTATAAAAAAAACCTGACGTTCTGTTGAGTCTTTCGGTACGAACGCCAAACTTTGCGTAGGAGACGTCAAGAATCTATAAGACCCAAGAAATCTATGCAGATGCGCCGCTCCACGTGCCACTTTCGATGTCGAAGCCAGACATCACCTGAAGATTGGGCGATGTGAGGGCCTCCAGGCTTTAGATGCGTCCGCCCTGGGCACTGTCGTAATTGTCGGTTTCGTAATCAGGCGCGTAGACCCCTCGGCACCACTCGACATGCCCGAACGCGTGTGAAATTGTGTCCGAGTTCTCTGAAGTGTGGAATGTAAGATGACATTCGATATTCTGCATTCGTCAGACACTGGAGATGATATGTAAGCCATTTGTAGAACACGAGAAGAATTTGGCGTTCCCGTGAAACGTGTTTGGTTACTTACAGCGTGTTTAAGTGAAACCTGAAGTCTGCGTGGTCTGATGCAGGGAGATGCTTTATGGCCGTTGCTTTTTAACTTTGCTTTGGGATACGTTGTGGTTAAGTTCTAATAAAATCAGAAGGAATCGTCCGATTTGAGGTTTTCACGGCGGTGAGTCTGAAGATGGCTGTCTTCTGGGTTCTTGGTACAAGTTTAACAGTTTTATCAGGGCGATGATGGAGGTAGCAAGGACCTCTGAAACGTCGGTAAACGTCTACCAACAACCCAGAAGACAGCCCTCTCCAGGCGTCCTACAATTTGTTTACCTATCTTCCTCCATACATGATTGGCGGATTGTGAGTCCTCACCCTCCAGAGAACGTCTGTGATTGGCTGGCCTGTTCAAATTTGAATTATGATCAGTTGGGACATACTCAAACCTGCCTCTGTTTGACTTTGAGTCTCGTCCAGGCCCCCCGAAACTTTTAGTGCAGACAGACATAAAAAGGTCCGAGTAGCCTGACCGCCCTCGAAGCTGCAAACTCGAGTCAGTCGACAGCCACTTGGACGAAGAAACTGACATTAACTTTGCCGAGCTCGGGTTCGAACCGGGTGCTCTGGTTCCAGGACAGAATTGTAGTGCGAAGATCGGCGATGAATCTTTCGGGCGTTTGGCGAAGACTTTTCGTTTCGGAGGTCATTGTTGCCAGCGTTAGTGTCACGACGTGGCCGTGGTAACCGAGTTAATTGTTGGAACACTGTTCATGCATTGTTGCTGAACAGTTACAGTGCAACAATGACCTGCCTGATGTGGGGGGGGGGACGAATCGGATCGCCGTGTTAAATTCAAAATTTAAGACCAGTTACGAGTTGCGGGGGTATTTATGGCGGGATTGCGTTGGTGCGGGCCCTCATAAAATTTGGTTGTTCAGGTCGAGCAGACAGGTTCAGATTTCAAGTGCAGAGACAACAGCCGATCAGAGTAATTGGCTGTTCTCGAGACGCAGTGAAGGTGGACATCTCCAAGGTAACTTCACTTACACGGCGTCTTGAGTCTCAGAACATCGCTGGACGGACTCGAATTTGTAAGTCCTGCGCCGTAGGCCAGTCCGTGTGGGATTTCTGGTGGACAAAGTGGCACTAGGTCAGGTGTTTTTATTATCGGAGTCCTTCGGCGTTTGAGAAAAAATGTCTATGGTCATTGAATGCCCAAATAATATTATTCTACGTAGATGTTATTTTATTTCACAAAGAAAATGAAGCGTGTAGATATTTCGTGCGTGGTTGGTAAAAGACGTGAAGTTCTAGGGGGCCTCCCCCCCCCACTCACAAAATAGCTGGGTAAGTTTTTAAGTAATGTAGCGTGGGGGGGGGGGGGGTGCCTCTGCGAAACACTGGATCAGGTCTGTATGACGTCCAAGAGTTGCTCGCCAGTTGTTCTCTGTATCGATTCCGTGAAAAATCCAGCGATTATGAAATATCGAACTAGCCCGTCAGCTTTCGAGCTCTGCTCGTCGTATTAACTCGGCGCTGCCATCGATAGTTATCGATTTGCACTTCTCCGAACTGCAGCAACCTTAACCTAACTCTGGAGTTCTCACGGTCTTCAGACTTGTGACGCCTTGCGAATTTAGGAGGAATTTTCTGCGCGTGTCTTCAGGGCGGAGCGAGAAGAATGTTATCGATATTTTGAAACGGTGTTACGTTTTCCGGGCCAACTTTTCTTTGCCTTGTTGTGTTTGGAAGTTTTAAATGCCGGACGTAAGAAGTCTTGGTCCCTTTTTGAAATTCGACCCTCGCATCCGAAATTATATTTGCGTAATGAGCCGCGGGGATTGAAGAAGTCAATTGGCGTTTCTTAATACAGGGTGGGGTAGCGTCGACTCGTCATTTTTAAAGCTGTTCTGGTCGACGACAGTTTATAGAAATGCGTTCGTTCTGATTTGAATTGCCTGCCAATCTCAAAATAGAGAACTTCTGAAGTAATTAATGCGTTAGCAAATGCGCTTAATGGAAAATGTTATGAATCTAGTGCGTCAGTGTTTATGGACGACATCTGACGGGCGTAATTCTTAGGAAGTAACTTTGTTATGAAGGCAGGCACTTGTCTTTAAATTCGCATTACTACGAACGAATTTTAATAAACTGTGGTCCACCGGTGCAGCTTTTGAAATCAGTTATGGCACGACAGGAATTTTTAAAATTTCATTTTTTATGAAATGCGTGTGTAGTATCGTCCCCCGCCACCCACTTTAAAATTGTAATCGTTTTGACAGATCTCCATGATTCATGCCACGACGGTTCGACTCCCGAAATATTTTGTTACGTAATTTTGAGGCCGCTGGGCGAATCACGTGGATTGCAGTGGACACGTGTATGAGTCAAAAATTCTGTGTTTTAATGCCATATCAATTTGACGTGTTGATTCGCAGTCGAATGTGATGTGACTAGGTAGGATTTGAGGTGTTGATGGAGGCAGCGAGGACCTCCGAAACGTCGGTAAACTTCTTCCGGACTGCACTGAGCAACAACCCAGAAGACAAGCGATTTTCGTGATGTGACGACTTGGAACGCTTCTGTGTCTTAGAGCTGAGGTTCCCAAAGTGTGGGGGGCACCCCCCCCCCTGGAGGGGGTGTCGTTTGTATGAAAAACTTTTTTAACATCCTCTGTTTCGTTGAGACAGTTTAGTTGCTGTATATTCATAGCTACAAGGTACGAGGGTTTGAGAACCTCTGTCATAGGGTGACTCATATTATCCTCTGTTTTTTCGGATTTGAACATTCAAAACTTACAAGACGGTTTTTGATTGATTCAGGCGAGGAAACTTTTCGAAAATTTATTTCCCTGAGCTGGTATATTTACGTCACCGCTTGTCCTTTCGAAAAGCCAGTGGTTGTTGTTGCGCGCACGTGTGGAACTCTTGAATATTTGCCCTGAGGTGTAATGATACTGACAAAGGCAAGTCGGAGGACAGTCGCTGATGGGCTGACCCGGGTCTCCGCGGTGTGACGCCAGCGACTACCTAACCGCGAGACTCTTGCATGAGTCATGACCGACAGTGACGCTGCTGCTTAAGACCGCCGTACCCGGAGGAGGATGGGGGCCCCGCGTCTGTCTTTATAAAGCAAAGCGAAAATACCACAAAGACCGGGCCATAGATGATCGTGCGAACGAGACGGCGATGCTGAAGTTTGCCCTAGTGAAAATATGGGCGGGGAGCGGACTAATTCAGCGGAGTCCGACGACGTCAGGACGAGAGGTCACATTCAAACCTGGGACCCCACGAGTGCGAAGCAGGATTTATGACCATTGCCTCGCCAGACTGTAGACTTCCAAAGTTACGACGCCTTCGCTGTTTCTCAGCGCATTCCGTCTCTGGGATGAAATCCGCTGTGGCAAAGAAAGATTCTCGTCCTGTAGGAGCCACGCCGGAGGACGCGTGCCGGCCTGCTGTTCCCTGCCCTCCGTTGGTCATTGTCTCTTTCAACAACGGTTGTCAGTTGAGGCAGTACGTTCTTTATATATGTCGGGAACTCCATACAACATTACAGGCGTCACAGTGCAGAAGAACGCACCGCCGTCCGTGAGAACCTCGCGGAATACCAAGTTCCTCACAGGGTTCCTGTACTTTTTCGATTTCTGTGTTGGCTACCCCGCAGGAAAAGTTTGTTCGCTGCCGTCAGAGTCGGGGGGGATTTAGTAAAATTGAATTTCCGCGTGTGCTGACCCCTAGACCTAGACCTAGACCTAGACTTCGTCTTCCGGTTATGAACGCGCACCATTCGGTCGCGTTCGAGGTTGAGGTTATTGTTTGTTACTGGTGCAGTTGTGTAAGCAGGACGCTCGTGGCGGAATGGATGTTTGTTTGTTTGTTTCCGGACAGGGGTGGCTAAAACGCCTTAGAAGTTCTTGCGATCGCACGCGAAATGTCGGGAGCTCGTACGGGATTTAATGGCGGAATGCGATTGCAGATTTTGAACATTTCATAAAATCGAATCATTCGTCATTAATTCTTTAGTGGTTCGTGTATTTTGGAGGTCCCAGGTTTCAAATCTCCGCCCGGAGACAGGCTAATCCTTCGTCTGGATTGTCCTCAGTCCATCCGGGATAGTGCCTTAAATTGGGGTCATCTCCGTCTCCTTCCTCATCCTTTCCGATTCTTTGTTCGCCGTCCGTGTTGACGCTTTGTCAGACAGAAACCGGAAGACGCTGATTTGCTTACGATGTTCTGGTGTGGTTCGCCATAGAACGCGGCACAGCCAAGAGTTTCAGTTCCTCCTATCCTCTGTTTCTGAACGCGTCCAACGGTGATCTTGTTCACGAAAATGGCCACGACCTCCCCTCACACACACACACACACACAGAATATCCCGCAATAAGATGTCCATAGCTTAACTACGTGATCTGGGATCATTTTGAGTAGAAAAGTTGTAATTAACACGGGCACGATCCGAAATTAGTGTTTGCCACGCTCTGGTTATGTAATTGTCGCGTATGCAAATTTTGCTTACCTGCAAAACGGAGTTATCTTGATTAGAGCTTTGATTTGAAAAAAAAATTGATCAAGATGCTGTCAGTTTTCTTATACAAAGAGCTCAAAGTTGCGTCGAAAAATCATGGTTGCCATTTCGAGGCACAGATGTGATAGGCAGTTCGGAATTAGTGCCGTGCGTTCCTCAAAACTAAATTGCAAACATTAAAAATGCAATAAAATGATATTTCTGATTTTTTTTTTAATTAGAATTTTTCTACTCAAAATGATCCCAGGATCACGTAGTTAAGCTATGGACATCTTATTTAGGGGCACCCTGTACATGTACCTTCGGACGATAGGATGACCAACGAATAATGATTTGTAAATTATGGGGAAACAAGTGGTCACTTACCTGATTTGATCTGCTGGACGGACTGAGGAAGACTGCGAGAATCCTCCTCAGTCAGGATAGCCGGTTTCCGAGGCCAGGTTTGAACCCTTTTACCTCGCGGATACAAAGGATTGTTGGTCGCTCGGTGCAACCGAGTGCAAGTGAAGGGGAGATAAAATGGCGGGTGTGAACGGAGAAACTAGTCGATGTGCGGTAGTCCGGCCGTGGCTTGAATGTGAGAAGCTCGGAGAACGTTGTTGAGAAGTGGTTTCGGGGTGGAATTAAATGGCGGACAGCTGCAGCCGGACGAAATAGCAGGTATTTGTTGGTGGTGAGTTAAGAATCCGGAAATGTTGCAACATTGCGGACGGGCGCCCTGTTCTCAGAAGCTGGTGGTCGCTCACGATGGCGGAATACGATTTTCCTTTGTGCTGATGCCATGCGCGTCGCAGCTCTGCCCGGTGCGCACGCAGGTTGAAGACCACGGAGTAACTGCAACATATCTGAAGAACATTTTAGTATCTTTGCGGCGAGTGTAATTATATACGGAGATAATTACCGTCATGAAGCAGTTTTGACCGACTCGTGCGCACATTGTTCATCCGGTCTCCCTGACTACGGTCAGGAGACGGAGGGGCTGAGAAAAACTGCGGCAGCCGCCGACATTTGTCTCGCACCTGCTGCTGTGCGCGACCCCTGGCTGCCATAGACCCAATTCCCGAGTTATCCTCCCCGCCCCCCGCCCCACTGGCGTTCAAGGCCTTCGCGCGCCACCTTCGACAGCGGCGATTCGATAACCTCTGTTAGTTCAGTTTGCTGCCGCGTGGTGGCTGCACTTGTTGGGACGGGAATAAATAAAAAGTCGGTCCATGCACCCGGTGATGCCTATGACCTTAAGCAGTTTGTTGACCCCTGAGATCTGTCCTTGACTGCAGGAGAGTGATGATGATGATGTTGTGTTTGGTTGCAGCGGAGTAGCAACGCTGAGCTGTACCGACTGCTCGACGTCGTCTAGTGGGACGAGCGACATCACAGACCCCGGCTCGCCGTACAGCACCGCGTCCACCCATTCCTCGGCGTCCGAGGGCAGCGACGACTGTTCTCCCCGCAAGAATGCCGCTGTCTCGGCGACACTTTCTCTGCCGGCGCCACCATACTGCGGCGTCGTGACGCCTCCGGTGCAGAGCCGCCACTGGGCGACGTCCGCCCCCTCCTGCAAAACTGTCTCTGCCATGGCCCCCAACACACAGCAGCACTGCTGGCCGTGGG